TGGGTGGGGCATGTCAAATGCAGGGCTAGCCACAGGGCTGGTGTCTGCCGTGTGTGGTGCATGGGCTGGTCCTGGTGCTGCACAGGGGCTTGGTCCTGGTCTGGCCAACAAACCAGCCCGTGGGACCAGATGAGTTTGATACCCCTGCTTTATAGTATAAAAGATGAAAAAGTAAAAAGAGGTGAACTGTATTAGGAAGCCCATAAGGCAGAATTGTTTTCATTCATAAGAAGAAAGGAATCATTATAGTCACCAATAAGAACATCATCATCTTATGGGAACTGGAATGGATTGATTTCTTTCAGAAGGAAGTAACTAAAAGACTTAATATAGTTCCCACATTGAACATCTGTGAATATTTATTTTAGCGAATCTAGTTATACTAGTTGATGTTAGTAAGCTGTATGGAAACTTTGCAACAAGACTAAGTTCCAAGGAAGAAGAGCTAATTACATACAAAATAAAATAAATCAACACTGTAATTACTATACAATGTTAGTTTCAATGACCTTGGCAGATTAGAAGATGTGCCGTCCTCAGTGAAGGAGGTTTTAAAAAGCATAGGGATTGACTCTAACAGGGTATGAATGGAAATTGTTCAGACTGCATTGGAACTAGGGCCACTTTCAGATCATAGGAAAGTCAGGTTGAAACAGACCTTACAAGATAGTCTAGTCCAGCCCCTTGCTCAAGGCTGGATCATCCCTGACTAAACCATCCCAGTCAAGTGTCTGTTCAACCTGCTCTTGAAAATGTCCAGGGATGGAGAATCCACGATGTCTCTAGGTAGCCTGTTCCAATGTTTGACCACCCTCATAGTTAGAGGTGCTACAACATGCTAGAAGAACTCATAAAAGGGAGAAAAAAAGCCGAAACAAACAGAAAACAATCCTGACTCTGACATATCAGCTCCACAAAGAATGGGGCTGAATTGCTGGTGTTCAGTGTAAATAACTGAATCATCAATATGCCTTCCTACAATGCCATTGAGTCTCTTGTAGGTATGCCATCAATAAGACAAATATGCCAACAGAGATTTTGATCTACTGGTTTAGAAGCTGATGTGACAAAGGCAGGCCTTGCTGTGTTAATGGCCTTAAAACTAACTTAACAAAGATTTACCTCTCTTATATTGCATTCCAGTGAAAGGAATTAATTAGTTTGACCTCATAAAATATTAGCCAGATTAAAACTCCTCTGTGTGTACTCTTAGTATTTGATTTACCTTTTTTATCTTATTTGCAATTAAATGTTGGTACCAGCAAGAAATCAAGCAGGCAAACCTATGAGTGCATTTCAGTGTAATACTCAGAGATGCTGTTTAAAAATACAATGCATATAGAGTTACACTAGCAAATAATCTGGCCCAGGCACAATAAATTGGCCAGAGCGTCATGTCCACAAGTCAGTGCCATATAACATGGCTGTGGTTTTACTTTTAAGTATTTTATAGTACCATAATTTTCACTTGTTCCTCTATGACCTCTAAATGGCCCTAGGCACAATAGGCTGTACTCAGTATTTTCAGAGGAAAGGCTTTATCTTGGATACAGGATTGAAATCTCATTTTGGCCTTATCTCTGGAGAGAGGTGTGAAATAACTTTTTCCAGCATTTTCAGTGCTTGTTTCCTGACTACTACTCAAGCTCAAAAACAGAAAAATTAGACTGCATGGATAGTAACCTTTTCCAACCTGAAAATAAGGAATGATTAGGAAAACACTGAGAGTCAATCACCAATCTCCAATTTAAAATATGTGTGTTTTCCATCTGTAGGCTATAATACATCATTCCCTCTGGCCGATCAACACAGTTATTACATTGGATCATTTGCATTTTGTAAAATGACTCCCTTTTTATGGCTTAAACTACACTAAGGTTTTGCAAGCAGAATTTAAGAACTTCACACCTGAAGCCATGCTGTGAGCAGAACCCTCCACTCTGTTGAGAGATTTCTCTCTCTGCTGAATGGAATATAAGGTTCTACCCCTGCCTGGTGGCCAGCCAAAGACACATTTAGACAATCCCACAATTACACATGGCTAATGAAATCTACTCTGCAATTGGTGCCTTCCCATAATACCCTTTGCAAGACAGTAGTATGCATGCGTTTTGGCTGCTTGGCAGGAGCAGTTGCTGCCAGAACTTCCTGTTGCCACACCAGGTAAGTGCAGACATCAGCAAAGATTTCATAGTACTGACATTCTAGGACTTCAGTAACTTTGCTATGGGTGCTTTGTTTGCAGGTTTGTACAGCACCCTGCACAATAGGGCCCCAAACCTTATGGGCAAAGGTTTCAATTAGCAGCAGAATGCAAGTATTTATTACTACTAATTATTGTTTGCATATACTAGCCAATTGCCTGTAAAAAATGACAGGCAGGGGGGAGCAGGGTGGCCAGGGACAGAGGCCTGTGATTGGCCCCACCCCCCTCACCTTCAGGGCCAGGCCCACTCCTCCTCTCTCCCCCACCACTTCAGGGCTGGGACTGGCTGACCCCGCTCTGTCTGCTGGCCCTCCCCCTGTCCACTTCATTGCCACCGCCTGCAGGGGTGGTGGGGGTATGTGGCCAGCAGGGCTGGCCTTGTCCCCCCCTCCTCTCCATCCGCTCTGTTTTCATGGCCTGCAGGAAGCAGGGGGGATGCTGTCCCCACTCCCCCTCTGTCTGCTCCATCGCTGCCTCCTGCTGAGGGGGAAGGGAGCGAGGACAGAGGCCCGGAGCCAGGCTCGCTCCTGTTGCTTCCGGGCCAGGGATGCTTCCCCCAACCACACCCTGGGGGCTGGTGGGGACAGAGTCCATCGTCTGTCCCTGAGCCCCTGCTCCCCTCATCCCCCCCCACAATTTGGCCCTGACCCTGTTCCCCTCTCCTCCCCCACCCAGTTGTTTCGGGCCCGACCCCTTTCCCCCCTGGTGGTTTGGGGCTGCTCCCCCAGTCCTCCACTCGCCACAGTGGCCCTGACCCCATTCCCCCCACTTGTACCGCATTTTGTTTTTCTGGCATGCCGGCACTCCGGCACCTTCCAAGGTGCTTTTATATATATAGAGAATACACACACACACACGCGCATGTGTGTGTGTATGTATATATATTCTATATATATAAAAGCTTGTATGTATATCTGTTCTATATATATATATATATAAAAGCCTTAGTCTGTCTGTCTGTAATGCTTTATTCACACTCTGACTGGCTGTCCTGGACAGGCAACGGCGGCAGCGGTGTGGCCGAGTGCTGCCATGATGGTGGGGAGGAAGGGGATGGAGTGGGGGGCCTGGAGGCAGCGGCAATGAAGCAGGGGGGTGAGACCAGCACCGCTGGCCTGCCCCACCCCCCCAAGCCCTGCTACCTGGAGGCAGCAGCAATGGAGTGGGGAGGCAAGGCCCTGGAGTGGGGAGGCGAGGCCCTGGACCAGAAGTGGGGTTGGGGGAGCAGGTCCGGCAGCACAAGGGCCAGGGCCTGTGCTCACAGGGACCAAGCAGCCACGAGATGCTGGGAGGGAGCATAGGGTAATGGAAGGGGGAAGGGGCCGTGGCCAAGCTACCTGGTGTGGTGCAGCAGCCTCTTCCCAAGGCAAGAAGTGCCACAAGCATCTCCTCCACTTTCCTCCAGCCCATGCTGGGGCCAGACATGTTCTGCCACCACCTGCATAAATCAGAGCCGCGCTCTGGCCTGGTCAGGACGGGGACAGCTGGGGCCCCTCTGGCAGTAAAGGGCATCACGGGGTGAGGGACTGTGGGTTGGGAATGTGGGTCACTGGCAACGCCGGGGGCTGTGGGTTAGGAGTGCAGGGCACCAGCAGGGATGTGGGGGCAAGGTACTACAATTTGGTGAGTGAGGGGCACTGGCAGGGCTGGGGTCAGTGGCCTGAGAGTGAGGGGCAGCAGCAGGGCTGGGAGGGCTGTGGCTTAGGAGTGTGGTGCACCGGGGTGGGGACTGTGGGTTGGAAAGGCAGGTCACTGGTGGCACCAGGGGACTGCGGGTCAGGAGTGAGGGGCACCAGCAGGGATGGGGGTGGGAGCCTGCAGGTCAGGAGTGAGGGGCACCATCATGGCCCAGGGGGGCAGGGTACTGCAGCTTGGTAAGTGAGGGGCACTGGCAGGGATGGGGTCAGTGAGTTGGGATGGAGAGGCAGCAGCAGGGCTGGGGGGGCTGTGGCTTTCCAATGAGGGGCAACAGAATAGCCAGAGGCAGGGCCACCCTTCGGGGCCAGCCATGTAAACACCCCTTTGAAATCCATCATTTATGATGGGTAATTGGCTAGTAGTACACACACACACACACACACACACACACACACACAAACACCCCCAAAGAGACAGACTCTATCCTAAAAATTTTAGAATGCTTTTTTTTTTAAATGTATCATAGAAACATGTGCCTACTGATTTTGGGGGCCCAGTTTTAGAAGTTATCTGAAAACTGGCCCTATAATATTTTAAACATTCATTTTTAAAGTAAAGCAATCTTTATTTTTATTTGAACTGCAGAATTGGGCAAGAATGACAAATAGTAAGAGTGAGAAAAGACATCTGAAATAAAAATCAAAATTCAGTTTTTAAAGAGGCAAAATCTGATTATGCCAGTGATTTTCCACTTGGCTTTGATATGACAACAGGAACATATCTTGTTGCACCAACAATACATGCAAAGAGAGCGTCTCAATGGGTGGTGGATTATTTGTATCATCTGGATTCAGTGATGAATGCAAACTATAAAGACTTGAACAGAATGGCATGACCATGGCTTCATGGCAAATGTGTTATCATTTATGAAGTGCCTTGTCAAATCAAAAAATAAATTAAGAAAGAGCAAAGTATAATTCTAATTCAGGCTACTCTTAAATGAGGGATAAGTACTGTAATGTACCACCATATAAATTAACACTAACCAAAGAAAATCACAGCTGAAAAATGCATAAAATAGTGTATATCGTTTGTAAAACTTTACTGGTTTCCCACCACACACCCATGATCTTTGGAAAAATTACGTTCTTCATACCTGTCTTTTGGTCACAGTGCCATCTACAGGATCCATATATTCAAAGCTGTCTGTTTTTTCCACACTGTAGATATTGTTCCCAACAGCAAACTGCTGATGACTGAATGACTTGTCAGTGATCAAAGCTTCCAGATCTCTCATTATGAAATATGCTGTTCTGGGATCCAATGCTTCATAATCAAATCTTGCATGTAAAAATTAAAAGAAAAAACCCAAAAATAAATATATACGCTAAATATATACACTATATAAGCAAAAGAAAGGCTCTTTTTTCACAAAGCATGGTATACTCAACCATTAGGAATTTACTACAGACATGAAAAACCACCTGGGCAATCAAAGGGTGCCTATGCATGAGCAGTGAGGCTGCTCCAATGCACTAATTACAGCGTGTTGGAGCAGACTTGATTAATCAATTAATTGCTTGTGTGATTAATCGAATCTGCTGGAGCATGGTAATTCCTGCACTCCATCAGACTCCAGTATGTTGTGTATCAGTGCCCCCATGCTTAAAAATAGTGGTGGGGGCACTTTAGCTAAAACTTGTTGAACGCATTTTAGTTAAAGCACCCCCACCTCCATTTTTAAGTGTAGGGATGCTGATACATGAGATACTCTCAGGGCTGTTCTAATTAAATCACCCTCCACTCCTGGACCCCATGTACAAACTCCCAAAGTGCCTAGTACAAAACAACTTGTGCAACCAAACCCCAAGTTGCATTAAACATGAGCATCCATGTAATCACTTTAAGAGAAAATTATGTTCCCCCATAGTTCTGATTCAAATGACTTGCCTCAGTGAGTCAGCAGAAGCCAACAACACAAGAGATACACCTTTTCATGCTACATTTTAAGAGGTTATTAGCACAATACACCCTACTCAAAGATGACACAGTTTAACTTGACAGATTCCTATTATGTGTAACAAACCACACTGTGCCCGCCTGGCCTCCAACATCATGTCCCGCGCGACTTGGATCCGGGTGCACACCAGTATCTGCCCTACCGTTGCAGGTGGTCCTTCGAGGAGGTGTTTACTCATGACGCAGTCCACCCCTTTCTAACCTGCCATGACTTGGAATCTTCTTCAGTGGTGGGGCTCGGTACTGCTCAGGCTCCCTTGCTGGCCACTCATTCCTCCGGTGGTCTTCTGTGAGGCTCCACCTCCCCTCTACCTCGCTCTATACCCAGCCTGGCAAGCCACTGTTGGTCCTGCGGCCACTCTCCCGCACGATGGATGTCTCCTAATCCTTAGGCGCACCTCTCCCCCCAGTTCGCCTCTCTTCCCTCTACACTCAACCCCTCCTGACTTGGGGAAACACAAAATACTTTACAAAAAAACCCTCCACCAGCACCGCGTGTTCCTACCTTGCCCGAGATATACCTCAATACTCATATCTAGCCTCCAGGGCCCACTCCTGTCCTCCCAGCACCCCCTTCCCGCTTAGGGGCTATCTAAAGCTCCCCCCCGTGGTCACGAGACCTCAGGGTTATCCCTGGTCTCTCTTGTCTTGGCCCCTTTGGCCCCGCGTAACGTTGCCCTCTCTCTCTCTGGGCCTTTTCGTTAATGTTGCCCTCTTTCTGGGCCTTCTCAGTATCGCTGCCCTCTCTCTGGGCCTTCTCAGTATCGTCGCTCTCCCTCAGGCGTACCTTCGGGTCCCCCAGGTCCCTCCACCGTCCCACGTGTTTGGAAGCTGGAGCGCGGACCAGTGCCTCCCCTTTCTCTGCGGAGGCTGCCGGGCTCGGAGTCTCTCCAGCCTCTGTCTTCCTTCCCCTCCTTTCTCCGCACCGGAGCTCCTGCCCCGAGAGCGGGTTTACCTTCGCCGCCATCAGCGGCTCCACCCTCGCCGCGTGAGGCGTCGGATCCTCTTCTGTTGGGGATCACCGTTTCTCGCTCTGCTCGCTCTGCTCCGAGCCGCTGGCAGACCCCTCCGGCTGGGGTTTCTCCCGGCATCTGTTCCCCTGCCTCTTTGGGGGCTGTCCTCTTTATCCCCGCCGACTGGTAGTTGTTGCTGATGTCACCGGCTGGCCGCAGCTGTATGAAAGCGTGGCTGATGGCTCACGCAGGTTCCTCCCGGTGCTCCTGCTTCGCCGCAGGTTTCGCTGCAGGTGAGTACTCTTTCTTAATTTTACTTTTTTCCTTCAGTTCGTCCCCCGACCTCTGCTCCTGGGGTTCCCCCCTTGACCTTTTTTTGTCCCCCCGTTTGTCTCTCCCTGCGACACATACGAATAGCATCATTAGTATGGAGCCAGTTCGGAAGTGTCAGGCAACAACCAACTGGCACCTTGCATGCTCAATAGCTTGAGGAGGGAGAAGGATCTTTGGGGAGCGTTCTGAGTGACAACGCTTATGCAAAAAGTATTATGGGCTGCTGTGATGAGACTTCATGAGACTTCACAGTCCAGAAAGTTAATGGAGGGGCAGGGCTAATTTATTATCTCCCCAGTTGTGATTGAGGGACTGCGGAGAAAGGAACAGCAGATGGGAATGCTTCAGAGCAAGAGGGTGGGAGAAGCTACAGGATTAATGTTGTGAGAAAGACTGATAATCAGGAAAAGCAGGAACCAGCTCACAGAAGCACTGAGGGATCATAAAATGCAGTCCTTGGCTGCTTGAAAAGGGTTTTCTGACTGGAACCCAGAAGGGAGTGTGGGTTAGAATTCCCTCACACTTTTTCCTTGCAGAACAGAAAGTGACAGCCCTGAAAGAAAAGGGCTGACGTCTGATGAACATTGTGGCTGGGTATGAACTTTGTTACTATTGAGATCCAAACTGCATCAAGAGAAAAGGGCAAGGTTGACAAGAGATCCACTAGGTCAGAGGGAGCATTGTGGGCACTGATTATATTCTTTGACAGCTGCTTAATTTCCACTGGGCAAAATTTACCCACTTTAGTTCTACTCTGAGGTCTCATACAGAGGTATATGCAGTAGTATAACAAGTGATGGGTGGCACCACCCCCAGGTACCCACAAAGAGGGACTGCATAAACAGCCACTGCCGTTGCTGCCAATCCAGCTACTTTAGGCACCACAGATGGCCCAGCCCTTGCTGCCACTGCTGCCCAGGGTGCAGCACATGGTTCAAACTCTGGGTAAATGGGAATTATTCAGGAACTTTCACCCATAAAAAGAGCAGATGGGGTGGGTGCAGTCCTGTCAACTGGGTCTACCTACAATAAAGCTCCTAGCACTCAATTTATCTATGCTGAAAAAATGAAGAGCTGAGTGAAGCTTGCTAGGGCTGGGATTTAGACTTTTGTTTCCATATGCAAGCTAGTACAAGTTACAAGCTAAGGCTTAGACCACTAAACCCCACTATTCGTTCTGAAAGGGTAAACATTGAATATTTCAGCCATTTAGTGTTAGTGAAATCTAACTGTTCATACACCATAAGTGAAACTTTTGTGCTGACTTTTCATTAAGCAAATGACTTTAACAGAATCCTCAAAGAGGGAATGGTCATAAATTTAAGGAAGATTTCATTCTGTGTGCGTGCCTGATGAATGCCTCAAGTGCTGCTAAACATGCAGCCATACTTACAGTGAACGAAGCTAAACAAGCCACACTTGAACCAGAACTGTCCAAAGGACTACATAGCCTCTTGTGTCCTATAATCATTACTCTTACCTGCAATAGTAGTGGCGACCAAATTTTGTCCAGTGGTCTCTGACAATCTCTTCCACACTCTGCTTTCGAGCAGCGAGGATTGAAAGCCACACTAGCACAGCCCAGAGTCCATCCTTCTCTCGAATGTGGTCAGATCCTTAATAGAAACATTACATTATTTGAAGTATCTGCTAAGTAACAATATAGGCTGCAAACAATAGATGGGAAGCACAGAGCAGCTGTTCCTTTAATTTCATGATTTAGACAGATACAGTAATCAGAAATACATTCTCCTTATGCTTAATAATGCTGATATTTTCCAGACTGAGAGCAAAAACAAATGCCTAGTGGGAGGTATACACATACCCATATTATATATGACAATACACATTACTTAGATTTAAGAGAGAGAGATGGACAATTAGCTGGATATAAGCACTATAAATGGATTTATATTTTTAACCATTGTGATTCCTGCTCAATTTAAAGACTATGTTTACACATCTGGCATTGTTTCCCAGGATTGGCTCTGGTGTGCAAAATTCTGGTCATTAACAGGAGTATTTTAAATGAGAAGTCAACTGCACCTTCACGTCTCCCCAGATGTCCCAAAGTCACGGGTCAGGGATGGGATACTGTTTTCCTGTCCCACAAAAGTTTTTGAGATGTTTGAAATTTCTGCTGTACTTCAGAAACCAAACTAGACCTTCCAGGATAAAAAGCAGAAACAAAGGGAGGTGCATCACAGAACAGTTATTAGGTCAGTGTTCAGGGGACTCACCTAGGATATCCTGTAGCCCAGTGATATAGCACTCTCCTGGCATGTGAGATTGAGGTTCAAGTCCTTCAACTTTATCAACCAGAGTAGGGACTTGAGCTTAAGTCTTCCCTCCCACCCAGTGAGACTGCTAACCCCTAGGCCAGGGCTGTGTCTAACCTCTAAGCCCTCAGGTGCCAAATGCTCCAGGAGCTGCACCACTAGGGGCTGTGAACCACATGGAAGCTTCTACCACCTCCCCCTCTGCACTTCATGCCCATGTGGGTACCACTGCTCCACTGTGCAACCCTCCACCGCTGCACCATATGCCTGTGTAGGCACCCCTCCCACTGCATGGAGCCACCCCACACCTCTGCACTGCATGGGCATGATCCTTCACCCCCTACAAGCTAGTTCTGGTATCACCCTCAGCTCCCCACACAGAGTACCGCACTGTCTCACCCTCTGGAGTGGAGGCAGGAAGCAGCGGCAGTATGGAGAAATCACAAAGAAATGTATTCTAACGAAATAACCATGAAATGAGACCTAAGATGCTTGCAAAGTTGATACAGATGAGAAATTTCAGAAAATCTGACTCTAACAGAGTATGATGTTTGACCAGAGAGACAAATCTAAGAAGTGACAAGGGTACCATGGGATGAAGGTGCTAAGTTTAAACTCCAGTTTCGCAACAGATATATCATCAATTGCTGTCAATATTGTCAAGGCAATAACAAAAATAAAATTGAGGTTAATCATGTAGGGCAGGGGTGGCCAACCTTCAGCATAAGTGCCATGGGCTGCTTCTGTGAGTGGTACATGGCACATCAAGGAGGGACAGCCAAGTACTCCAGCAGATAGGGCAGGGAGCAGAAAGCAGATCAGGAGATGAGGCAGGGGGCAAAGAGCAGGGAGCAGAAAGCAGAGCAGCAAATCAGGCAGAGGAAAGGGATTGGAGTGGCACTCGGGTCATGTGTAGGGCTAATTTGTGGCATGCCTGCCAAAAAGGCTGCCCCCCGACACACACAGTAGTTTATTTGTTAGGCTTGCTGAGAGCAAACAAGCTATACCCGCTTTATAAAATCATTGCACTTTCTACCTGTATTGTTCCTGCTTGTAGAATCTATATGCCATTAAAACACACATAGCAAAACCCCCCAGATGAAAAGCAGTGCAACCTTGACATCAGAGAGGGTATAAAACTGTCTGCAGGTAAAAACAAACAAACTACGAATCTTGCCCTACCAAGAATATTCTGCAATTTTGCTGTTATTAATAATATCCTGTATAATCTAAATTGTGTGTGTGAAAGTATACATGGTCTCAATGTAAAGTGATGTACTGCAGCTACAACACAATTAATGCAAACTTGCAGAAAACAGTCACTATCAGTGTAACAAGAGGTAGCACCTCACCTCTCTCTGTTCAGCTCAAATGATGTGGGAACTTCAGACCCTTATGTGAAATATTTAAAGGCTGTTTCACATTATTAAACAGAAATGAGGAAGCTAAATATAAATAACCACCTTACTACTATAATCAAGACTAGGTAGATGAAACCATCAGAAAGGCATGACATGCAAAAGTTGATTTTTTGGGGGGGAGTGGCAGAGGGGGAGGGAAAGAAATCTTCCCTCATGCATTTTATGCTCCTTCCATTAAGCTCACTAAGATACAAGGTTGGTGAGTCAGATATTGTTATTGGATTTGACAGCTGTTTGGGACAGGGACTAATGCATTTGCACAGTGGCCAGCATGCTGGTAACAATACCGACTTTCTTCTGCCATTCATTCTCTACTTGACAGTAAAGACTGAGCTTCCAGAAGCAGGAAGTGTCTTTTACGACAGTGCTCACCACACTGAGCACAGTCATGGGTGGATCTAGGATTTTGAAAAGGAGGATACAGATGATGTGGAATATAATCACACAGACCTTGACACATGTTATTTCTAGTTAAGGAGAAACTAGAAGCTTTACTAATATTGCAGGGGCTAGCACTATATTATTCAGTTTCTGATCAAAGCAAAATATATAACTACTAGAATGTGCACTATATAGTTAAAAAAATATAACTAGGCAAAAACAGTCAAAGGATTTGTATTGTTAGTACTGTAGTCATCATAGCTAAGTGTACATCTCTTATTCAGAGTCACACAACAAAATCTAGCCTTCTTTAACATCTTGACCGAGCTTCGAATACTTCATTTCTACACCTGAGTTAATATTACCATACTTGAGTTAAGGTGCTTACCTAGAGCTAAAAACAGCCTGCAGGGCTGTGACATAAGAAATGCATTACCAGGAACGGCTAGAAATGCATTACCAGGAACGGCTAACAGACAGCAAAATTGCAGAAGAAAGGATAGTTTGAATAGTGAAACATCAAGACCATTAAAAATGAGACAGGGTTGTTAACACCTGTGGAGTGGAGAGAGATTAACAGGAATCAGAGAGATGATAATGAGCCATGAAGTCATTTGACTCTCCTAGCACTACCTGAATAGAAATGCCAGAGTCTCTCCCAGGCAGTTGATTTTAAAGTTTGGGTGGAACAGGAATCAAAAAGGCTATGCAACTACATCACTGCACCCACCCTGGATCCACCCCTGGCACCAGTCCTGTTTGGGTGCTCCAAGTGCTGCTACAACAGCAGCATCAGCCACCATACACTTGTTTCCCTTGATTAGAATCTGGATGCCACCAAAGGATAAATATAAACAATAAGAATAAAAATGAAAAAGAATAAAAAGGGCAGGATAATTTTATGAACACTTACAGTTCTGCGATTTCAGACCATAAAGGGAAGCAAATCTCATTCCTCAGAGAATGAAGTATTTGCCTGAAGGATAAGTAACCTCCCTGTCAACTCAATAATGTATATCATTATGAGCTGGACGGTATTGCTGAGTGTCTTTCACTAAAACTTTAAATATTGTAATATACTGTGATGTTGAATGTAATGTACTGCAACATTGTAACGTGAACTACAATGCCTAGAAGTCTCCAGAGGACTGGAGGAAGGAACTGCAGTATGAACTGCAACTCCCAGAAGCCTCTGGAGGACTGAAGGAATGGACTGCAATGTGCACTACAACTCCCAGAAGGCAGAAAGGGGGAGCAGAAGCAGCAGCATAGGAGTGCAGGTCACCGCAGCAGGGAGAGACAGACGTACAGCAAAAGAGTTTGGAAAGAGCGGCAGCGCATGCTGCATCAGTGGGTCTCAGATGTGGAGCCCGGGCAGATAGCAGTTATGTGTTTTATGGGAAGACAGAATGGTTTGGAGCCCTCTGGAGCTGTGGGAGGGCTTAAGGTTCTCAAGTGCATATATCCCAGTGTTAGTGTTTTCTACTGGTTACCTGTTCCTGGATGATTGCACCACAGTGTCACTCTTTGCTTCCTGTTACCCAGATCCTAAGTGCAAGTATCTTAATATTAATGTTTATTTACCTATGTCTGTCCCCCTCTCCCTAGCCTGTTGGCTTGTGACCCTAATCCCGAGCATTCCCTATATAAAAGTGGGAAATTCTCTTGCAAGCTCCCTGTACCAATTCTTGGGGTTGTGGGGTTTAGGCTTTCAGATATTTTGAGGATGCAGGCCCTGTAAGTACTTCAACAGGTATTGGTAACAAATGTGACTAAATGCATCCATGATCTGATCCAATATGACGAATCACATACTCCTTTGTCACATATTCCCCATTTACAGCATGATTTATTAAATACCATGTTTTGCCACAAATAAAACGCATCTTTCCTCCTCAAAACATGCTGTCAGAAATTGGGGTGCATATTATAGGCAAGAAATGTAGTTCCCCATAGGTCTGGGAATTTGGTGACAGAGGGGCGATGGCAGCATTCATTGCCATTGCTCTAGATGCCATGACAATGCTGCCACTGCTCCCCCACTATCAAATTTCCCAACCTGTGGGAAGCCTCCCTCCCCCAGCCAAATGATACAATCCCATGTGCCAGATCAAGCTGGTGCATGTGGTCTGTCTGTGGCCAGACCTGGCACAGGGTGTCAGACCTGGGGCATCAGGTCTGGGGTCACATGCCATGCCAAGTCCACATGAGAGGATGATTGATCAAGCAGAAGCCAAGGCTACTGCCTTCTCTTCAGCTGTGGAAGATGCAGGGCGTGAAGGGAGGCAGGCAGCAGCAGCCACAACTCAGCTTCAGGGACCATCCCTACAAAACTTCCCCTTCTTTTGAAGCAGAGTCTGGGCACAGACTGATCCCACACACCAACCAGATGCAGCATGTTGGATCTGGAGTCATGCGCCAGGTTGGCTACATTTCTAGCAGGGTCTGGGGGCACATGCCAGGTTGGCCACATTATGCACATTGGACTCAGTGCATAGCGCTCAACCCAGTGCATGGCACCAGACCCACTGCACC